ACTTTTAAGAGAGATTGCGAAAACATACAAAATCATTTCGGACCGTTTCAACTAAGGGATTTGGATTGAGAGCAACTGAATTTGTTATATTTGATGAGACGAACTAATCATGAAGGAGATGAATCGGTAGTGGTGAACTTGAACTGGGGCGAAACCTCCCGATACCTGTCAGAATTAAGCTATAATCAACGAGTTAAAAACAATCTCACTAGTTAATAAGTCACATGCTTTAAAAACGTAGCAATAGTAACTGGATAAAGTTAGTGCCCGAGAATTATTTAGTCCTTTCTTTTTTATTTGGAAATTACGCGTGTCCTGGTTGTCATTGAAGATTTTATGCTGGAAATTGGCATGCGCCTGGCCCAAAATTGGTTCAGCAGCGCATGCCCACGTTTGACCGTGTCGCACTCAGACCTCTCTCACTCAGCGGGATAACTGATTACTCTGCACCAGGTTTCCTCAGTGATTTTAGATACATATGCATACCCAGAAGTAAACGTTTTCAAAAAGAGAATAAATTTCCTCATAATATGTTTCTCTTTAAAAGTTATTTTTCTTTGCTTAAATTCACATTTTTTTCCGTCAATCCTGTTTTATTTTATAATGAAATCCATGTTAATTGTTTGAATATTTGTTGAAGCCGTTTGTTTCCATGGCCTTAGCGCCTTGGTATAAAAATTCCTTCAATCGATGGAAATGCATCGTGTTAAAAACGTAGCAAGACCACAGATAAATTTACAGTCCTCGATATTTTCATATTGTGGTGTTAAGAATATCTATTGATAAAATAAAGTCTCGCTCTCAAAGTTTAGAGACCATTTGAAATTTGGCATAAATTTAGGCTTAAGACGCTTCCGCTGAAAAATTATTCAAAGTGTTTCAGAATTTTTTATGCTATTTACCATATCATGTTACCTAAAGCTATCAATGGATTAAATATCCGCTTTAGTAGAGCGTTTTCATTGTCAAAATATCAGATTCTTATGAAATGCATTTGAGTCCTTCGAGAGAAACTGTAACCACGGTGTTTGTTTCATTTCATATGAATGGCACCTTGCCGAGCACCGAGGCTGTGAGGTTGATGTGTTTTGCAATTATTCGATGATAAAAATGTCAAATTTAGTGACTAAAATCCTAAACACCTGTCGTTTTTGAATAATTCATAACGTGACAATTTCATCTAGACCAATGAAAATGGCTGTTGTGGCTTGACTCGAAACGGCCGAATGAATTTTGAGACGAAAGATCGAGTGGTTTGTGACAAAACTCTAGGGCAACCGCATAATTATTTGGAATATTGTTGAAGTATATTCCGTAGAAATTTTCTTTTCCGCTGTTTAGCTCGAGAAGAGTTGCAATTACTTGCAGCGACAGCATGGCCGAAGAGAGCCCGGTTGAAAACAGAGGAACTGTGGAAGCGGCGTATAATAAATTGATAGATATCGAGTTTACTGCCGAGAATGGAAATTCTAGTCGTGAAAGATCACCACAGGAAAACACAGATAACGCTCCACTATTGACACAAATCACTCCACGCTCCACTGAATCGCCATCTTTAGAAGGTAACCATTCTTATCTCTGCAGTTTCCGTCAGCTATTCCGTGTGAAAAAGCTAGCGAATTCTTTAAACCAGAATCGTCTGTATAGCTATAGGTGACAGTTCCACCTGTTATGTTACAGATGAACTCTCCGCCATTGTCTTTTCTCGAGGAGAATCCTTTGAATGAAAATCATTTAACATTCAAATGCGTAGGGGATAAATTAGCATAAGGACATAAAGGAAGAAATTCGTGAAAAAGAGACGTTGCGGGTGTTTGATCAGGCGATAATTTTTAAAGAAAACAAGCGGAAACTTGCCAACCACCGTCTGAGACTGAGTAAATATTGCTTGAGTCTGTGTCGATACACCTCCAAAATACTTAAAAACGAAACTTGATCTTAGAGAGCAATTGTGCCTGTTTTTAAATGTAATTTCAGCTTTCGTTCGCGAAAATTTTAACAAGTCTGTATATCAAATTTACGCGCAATGCAAATCAAAGGAACGCGAACTGTGTTAGTTCACCTCCTCGTCTCTTTGGTCTTCTGTTTTATGGCTATTTATGTACAGATTTGAACTCAACCCTTAAGAAATACTGCATTTCCAAACCTTGCCATCTTGCAGTCTCAGAAGCAATCTAACTTTCCTCAGATAAGCCTTCGTAACCTCACAGAATCTCTTTCATTTTTCTCATTATATAACTTGATAACAACTCGACGAGAAGCTTACTCGCATTAAATTCTTACCCTCGTATGGTGTAAGCAGCGAGCTGTTTGATCTTACATAGGCTTCTGTAATGTGTAAAAAGCCTTTTAGGATTTCAAATGTAGATTAAATTTCGTTCAAATGAACTATGACTTATCAAAAGCTTGCAGTCTTCATGTCGAAACGGAATAGAGAACTGATTTGGTTATATATCAACTCAAACTGGAACCCAAGATTAGGCAGCTCCTATGCTTCCCACCCATGACCAATAACAGTATTCAATCATCACGTTTGTGCCAAAACAATTTAATCCAGAGATCTCATTGTATTTTATCCCTTTAACCTACAACAAACTTTTAAAATGAAGATGCCATAATTATCATCGACAAGCTCGAAATTACGATTCAAAAATGAAACTGCATATATTGGTTGCTCACAAATAATTCTCATTTTAAGTGCTGATTTTCATAGTTAAGGTAATGGAACCTACAAAGAGAACGCAATTTCTTGCCATAGGACCACAAAGAAATTAGAATTGATGTCATTAATCAAGTCTTCTTTTATTACCATTACGGTTTTGATCTCGAAATTTGACATACCCGACATATTCAACGCTTCTCGCCTTTACATGTAATTAGTGAAAGTGTGATTTTTGCACAGAAGAATGATTAGGAAAATTGGCTGCCAATAGATTAGAATTAAACACATGAATTAAGAAAAAAAATAGCTTTAAAGCCAGACCAAATTTCAAAGAGAATAAAAAAACCTCAGACATAAGAGCTTTGAGTGTGGTAAAATATTCGGAATTACAACCTAGAGAAGACTTCTGTCTCTGCCTAAACCAGGTCTGACAAGACTGCAAATAGACAGCAACTGCAGAAAACGTCAAGCTTTTTAATTTAGTAGTGTACATGTGCTTTTCATTTCAGGTACTGATGAAGGCAAGTATATCAATCAAGCAGAATTACACAGAGCATCTCTTTGCAGCGGACAAAAAACGTAAGTTGAAAAATTTTGTTCAGTTAATCTAGAGTTAAATGGAGAATTTATACAGTTATATTAGCCACTACTGTATTTCGTCCATAAAAGTCCCATCCCAGACTTCCCTAGACAATTCTCTAACGTAGCCCCTGAGTTCTCCCCCTAACTATGCTATGTTTAGCTTGTACCGCGGTGGCTTGCTTCCTGCTCCTTGGTCCCTCAAATTCACCATACTTGATGGATGTTCATTTATCCTTTTTTCTCTCTTCCTTCAGTTTTATTAACTAAATTGAGTATACAGATCATGATATTCATTAGGATTGCGAAAATAATTCAAAGGCTAACTCTTTCGCCTTATTGCGTTCACATAATTCTTGAAAGGGAAAGGATGGAGGCGGTTACAACGTTGATTCCCAGAATTTTGTACACATAAGCTTACAGCGGAACACGATTCTTTTGCAGGGACCAAGAAAGCACGCATTTTACACAAAGCAAAGTTCATAGGAATGAAGAAGGAAAAAATAGTGATGTTGCTGCCGAAAACAAAGAAAACTTAGAAGGTGTACCTTCAGAAACAGTTGAAAAAGAGGAGGGAAATTATGAAGAACTTGTTTGCTTAGTTAGACAATTCTATGTCGAGCGACCAGTGAACCCAGCCGCTATCGCTTATCAGAATATTGAAACTTGTTAGCGACACATGTCATCTGCAGTCTTTCGTCTACGTGGCTCCAGCCATTCAGCGAAATGTGGAGGTTTATCACGGAAAGAGGATTCCTCTTGAATCCAAATGGCAGCTCATCATTGGACGCCCTACAATAGGCTCTTACAAGGCCAAATTTTCAATCACTGCGCTTGCTGTAAAAACTGACTCAGACGAAATTTTCATTGCAGAAATTGTTTTGGTCATAGGAGCATCCCTTCGCCACATTCTGGGTGAACTAGGCGCACTCCACTGTGTCACTTTGAATTTGAGACTCAATACGACCTGAATAGCTGTGTAGTCCGTTGAGCGATCGAATAAGGATCGAATTAAACTGTGCTTACGTTGAGCGCGTTAGGATAAGAGCTTCTGAAATTCTTCGTTGTTAAAGGAATATTCTCCTTTAAAATTTTGATAAGAATTTATGAAATTTGTTGAAAATAAATAGGCGAAAGAGTCATAAAAAGTGGTTTTTATATGGTTACTTGATTGAATATTATTTTCTTCCGTAACGGAAGGAAACAATTTTTTGCCTAATCAAGCTACGGGTATGCCGTGGAGAGAACAGGTAAAATCAGTGGGTGGGCTTAATACTAGAGACAATCAGAAGGACTTTTCATGCCTGTGTGTTTGTCTGATAGACGTCATGACAGTTAGTTAGCTTGGGGTGAAAAAGATAAGATCAATTGCTATATATAGGTGGAATCAGATAAATGCAGATGGGTGGAATCAAATCACCATGAGAGAGCACACTGTTCTTTGCAGTGGGAAATGGCTTTCATAGTACAAGCTTTAAAGGCATCTGAGCACTTTTCAATCACTGCATTTATATGAAGCCCATTGCTCTGATGTTTGCTCCGCCATTATCTGTTGAGGCAAAATTTCCACACTTGATACTATCGTCCGGAAAACAGTTAATACCAAATCTGATTCTAGAATCGCATGAGAAGCAGTCATCTTCATTGTCAGCGACCATGAAATTCTTGCTTGAGCATTTCTCCTATGAAAGCATTCAGCACTGAATCCTTCCTTACCACAGTAATACTACAAAGATGCTTGTAAACCAATAATCGCCTTTCACGAGTCACGACCCAGTAAATAGAGTCGGTGTGCTTGATGGTGACAATGAACCTGAGCTGTGGGTCGATCTATATACCAAGACAGATCTTTGAGAAGGAAGTGTTCAAGAATTGTCTCATTTTCATCAGTCCAATGCTTTGAGTGATAATCAAGGGTGGTCTGTCAAGGAATTAAAGATTCCGAAACTCATATCTTTTACCTGATTTAGTTATGATTAGGATATATTTCATAAGCACTGAATATATGGTACAAAACGATACTGTAAAGCGGCGGAATGAGTGCGCATGCTCAGGGAGCGTTTTGTGACTCTAGCGTGAATGATTTTCGTTGATGAACGAACAGAAAATCGTTTCACACTTTTTTGGACAGTAATTAATGTGAAACAAGGAAACAATTAATGGAGGTTGCTCTTATGGAAAGGTCTGAAGGTTAGGAAGCATTTTTTAAATTAAAGGTCATCGTAAGCAGTTTTAAATTTAGCCAGAAAGCAAAGGCAATAGCAGTCGCTACGAAATTCGTTACCGTGTTACGGATGCTCTACTTAGTCCATAAATTCACATCTGTGACAGCAAATTTTTTTTCTGTTGAGTGATATGTGACGGGAAGTTTCCAAGAAATTTTCTTGAAGTTATCTGTTTTGCAAAATGAAAGCAAACAATGGAAATTTTTAAAATGCCGCCATTTTCCCGCAATACTGTTACTGAAGAAATACTGTCGTTTCCATTCCTTTGCACACCTAAAATTTCTCGCGCGTTACAAGCATGCTCACTTATTTCGCCACTGTGTCGAACAAAACTGAGTCTTGTGTAGCATGCGCAGTACGCCTCACCTCTTTCGCAGTTTTCTCCCCAATAACCATCTTGACACACACAGAGGTATTTTTTATATGTAAATCCCCTCAGGCACGTCCCATTAAACATGCAAGGATCACTGGAGCAAGGGCTCTGATAGGTACAAAAAAGGTGAAGGAGAAATTATCTTAAGCTCTTTATAAAACCGATGATGGGAAAAAAAGTTACATCACAACCCCTCCACCTAGATGGTTTCATTGATTACTTGAAGTACCAGCGTGATCTATCTTCTAAAATCAATCCAGATGCTTTCAAACGATTAAAACTTAATGCTGATGACCATCCATGTAATTTCAGTTAACAGGGGAAAAAAGAGGGGGTCTAAGCTTTTCACCAAAGTGTGAGGACTGAAGTTGGTACATTTTTGGGATCGAACTACATTTGTGTACGTTACTTCGCAGCAGAGTATCAACATGGCTGGCTTTCGGGGTGAAAAGCTCTGTAACTTAATTTGTAACCTTGACCACACCACTAACCTCTTACCCAGGGCGGAAAACTTCGCCGTTGTTTAAGTTTGCATGCTTTTGTCTCTCTCCGTGATCCAACAAAAGTTTTCGACAAGTGATCCTCTTTCTCAGCTCTGTCATCAGACAATCTGCAGAATTACATGGAGGTATACGTGATTTTTCCGGTAATCTTACCTCAGTAGCAGTGTAGGTAAACCCATCTCGTGGTTTCAGGTCTTCAGGATGTCTAACGTGATCAGAATCGCTCAACTGACATAGCACTTGATCGTTTATTGATGGACCGATGTTAAATGATGCGCAGCTATTATCAATTACACACTTTCCTCTACAGGAATGACGCATACCCACGTGCAAAGTAATGTTTTTAATCACGTGACCCACGAGGGCGCGGTCATCTATTGATGGGGTGAATTTCAGAGATCGGCAGGAATCTGCAAAGTGGGATAAATAGTGATATTAAAGCAACGATAGGAGTAAAAAAAAGTTAAAAAATATATGTATAAAACGAAGTGAACCTGACGAAATCATCAAGGCGCTGTCCTCAATTAGTTACTGATCATGTGAGAAACTTATGATTGTTTAAGACTCAAAAAGTAAACGTACCGGTTGTAAACGTTGTTGTGACATGAGTTTCGAGCTGAGATGATTTTTGCACTCGGCGTGCATATTTTTTTGTTATATAAAAAGAGCTGTTTTAGCATGATTAAAAAAGAAAGCGAGTGCCTCCCAAGCAAGTTGTACAATTCTGACTACTACGTTTTATCAAATGTTCTGTTTGTTTTTCTTGTACGACTCCTTTCACATCTTAAACTCTTCAGTCACTTTTTCTATTTCAAGAAGAGTGGCATGGATAGCAACAGCACACGATTGAGTTGTGGCCTCCATTACTATACCAAAGGGCATCAGTGCTATGGTGCGCAACCAGGAACAAAGAATTGTTCACCAATCCTTTTTTTAAACAGAAGTGCTGCCTCTACCATCCTTTCACTAAATGGAAATAGATGGGAAGGCCGTCGTACAAAAATCAGCAGATGTTCTCCAGAACAAAAAACAAAAAAACATACAAACAAACTAGGGAGCCGTGTCCCTAACGACCACTGGCGCGATTTGTTGTTCGCCTGCTTTCACTTGCCTCCTCTGACTCAGGGCCTGGAGCAACCTAAAAGCTAAGTGGTGTTACGGCAGTAGATTGAATAATTAAAAAGAGCAATTTTCGTTTACCTCTATGACAGCTGTACAGCTCTGCTCTCATTGAAATATGGCGATTCCAAGCTACCGGTCGGAAACGAATGTAGCGCGCAATGACTGGTGGGTTTAAGACGTTTACCACAACGGTGTCTTTGTCCGTGTTTCCATTAAACTCCTTAATAGGATAAATTAAGAATTAATAATAAATCAGCCCTTGAAAATATTTACTGATAGTGGATAAAATTCAAGAATTGGCAGCTTAGACCTGCCAGTTTTGATCAACACTCTAACTCCCAAGATCTGATTGGTGATTCTCCCTAATAGCTGCAATACATTTCCATGTAAATAACAGTTATGATAATTTGGTGTCATATCATGATAAAAAACTCATATCTGATAAGTTTGTCTGAGTATTCATGAATTGCTTGATGGATAATGTATGGATATTAAAAAGAGAAGTTAAGTGTTGATCACTTCTGGGTGTTAAGGGGTTAACAAGAGGAATTAACTCTCTTTTCTGAGAGCTTTTCCTCTAGTTAAGCTGTCAAGTACGTTCGGTTCATTCATGCTTCCAACTGATCTTGCTAAGGATATCAAAACCTTATGTACATGTGGTCCACCTGGTACTCTTTCTTTTTAAACATATTTTAAAATTATTTTAATTATTCTTGCGAAAAGACGCATGCACAAATGTATGGAAGTATACGTTCTGAGAACATTCGCATAAAATTTGCAATCCTACTTTATCGGCACTTTGTCCTTCTTCCTTGAAATACTGCAAGCTTCCTTCATCATTACCATACTGCAGTTTGTACTTTGTAACCCACTGATTAACTCCATTCCTTCCCTGCGTTCCTACGCGAGTAACTTTGGTCTGTTGATCTCTCAGATCAATCTGCAGCCACTGTTTATCATCATTTGTCCTCGCTGACCAAGCTCCTCCTTTTTCGGGGCCTTGTTCATGATGTAGTCTGCCATTTTTGGGGCTAACACTGCTGCCCCATTGGGAAGAGGCGCTAATTTGACTGTCAGATATTGCACCGTTTTCCATGCCAAGAGGGTACGTGTATTCGCATTCTAAACGTTTATCCAGTAGTAAAAAAATAAGCACAAATACGTCTTCTAACGACAAAATAAATATCTTACGTTCAGAAAAATCCAGCCCCTGGAAGAACAGGTGCTTGTCTAACTTCTTCAGATACAAATACTTGAGATATTGAAGGGAAAGGTTGTCTTTCCTCTCAAAACCTCGAGAATTTATCGAGTAACCAAGATTGATAATTAAAGCAAATTTACCATGAAAACTTCGTAGACACTTGCATTAGGTTATTTACCTTCTGAAGCAGTGTTACAGTGGAAAAGATAACTTCCCCAGAGGAAAAACGATAACGTACGAGCTAACTCAAAATGGTGTTTCATTTTCAGCAGTGATGCAGGATAATTAAACAGTTCTTGATCGTAGTGCAATCAAACAACCACAGAAAGTTGATGGACTGTGAGAACCTGTTTATCAAATCACAATAAAGTCAGTTTACTTAGCCGGATAATTGACTTTTCCATTTACTTGACCTGAGGATAAATTTTGAAATAACATCGACTCTTTAAATTTGTTTTTCCCATTTTTTTAGAGCGGAGTCACATTCTACTGTTTAAAGTACATAAGCATTCTGAGTTTGGCTAACATCTGCCCCAACCAAATTAACCAATCAGAACGAAGCCATGAAGCCTGAACATGATGTTATTAAACCCTTAAATTTTAAATCAACGAGCCTTCAAAATTTACCCTTATCACGCATATGAAGTACTAAAATAATTTAAGATAAGAACTTACCACCTCGATTGTTACGGGAAAATATATTGATTTTTCTATATGGTTGTTTGGAATATATTTATTCGTGAACTTTTCATATTCAACCATTTTTATTTTATTCGAGTTCATTCAAGTTCTTTCAGTCTAAGTAAATCAAAAAATATAAAAAGCCACAGTGGTTTTTGAGTAGTAAACTAAGAGATTCTTGTTTTGTTGCTTGCTTTCATTTTACAGCTACATGTCGGTACTTTTGTTGACCACTGTCTGTGAAATTTTTAGGTAAATATAACTTTTAATGGTCTTTCTGAAAAAATTAGCTCTCATGGTAGTTGGCAGCTGAGTTTTTGCTCGTAATATCAGTTTCCTTTCGTACGATAATTTCCCACACCAACTTTGCATAGATAAGCGGAAATTGCATAGATAAGCAGAAATTTTTAACTGCTTTTCCACTTTTATTTCCTAAGCTGTTCTACTTTAATTAAGAGAGGTATATTTTCAATATCAGAGCTGTGAATTCTCACCTCAGTTTCCTATTTTTAATGGCCTAGAGTTCATACTTAAGCAAGTACATTGTAAAGCTTTTTCGATTACATAGACGACTGCGTGCAGATTACATTGATTACGAAGTTGATTATGCTAAAGGTCATATCAGTTGTTGGCCCGACCTAGTAATAAAGTCTACTGTGGAACCAAAACGCTGTCTTATCCTTGAAGTCCGTAAAAGCTCGCTTGAAGTAGATCGTTGTGTACTAGGAAATCGTGACGAGTTTCCGTTTCCACTGCCGAGTTGTCTCTACAGAGCTATTTTTTCCCCCATTGTTGTTGTACCTTCTACGAGAGTTCAGTTGTGCACGAAAACCTTATCTTTATACAATAGCGTCTGAAGATTATTACAATAATGCTGAGTAGCGTAACATCACACCACAAAAAATTATAACGATTCAAAAAAATAGAAAAAAATTATCCAGCCGTCGACATGACGAACAATTTGGTTGTTTTTACGCAAATTCGTTAAATCGAGGTTTTCGATATAACGAACCCTCGATATAACGAACCAGTTTTGCCACTCCCTCGGCATTTCGTTAAATCGAGGTTCGACTGTATATAGCAATTCAAATTGCACAGTTTCGGCATTACACGAAAAATTTTTCTGTCAGATAGCTGCAAACTTAGATATTAACTTTCTCTTTGTCTTCTGAGTAATGTAAAACATGTTTGTCTCAAGGACATCTGCGGTCTTCTGTAGACGGATTTCTTATCTCACAGTGAAAATCTTATTTGTCTCGAACTATTCTCCTTCTTTGTTATGATTTCTGTTACCTTTTTATTCCCGGGTTCTTCCCTCGCCCATGTTGTGAATGTTGGGAATCGTTGCAAAAATCAACAAACAAAGTATTCTCTTAAAAAAATATACATTTTGAGAGTGTCTCCGCGTGTATCCTTGCATTGATAATAGAGAACAATTCAAGCATAAGAAGTAATTAATAAAAGATATCAGATGTATGTTATAATTACCCGACTATCTTCAACAGCTTGTGTTTCTTAAATTTCGATGTAACGTTTGACATCAAACTTGAAACAGTTTTCTTTACTTTTAAAATTCAGATTTAACTTTTGCGTTCAAGATGTGAAACGTACCTCCAGGAGACTAATAACTGAACTTCTAGTTTGATATTTTTTCGATATTTGCTCTTCATTCTTTTAAAACAGACCCCACAGGTAGACTTTTTTTGTTATGCCGACTAAGAAATTGAAGATGACTGACGTTGCATGGTGATAGCCAGTTGTTCGTGCTTCGTTGGGCGTTTTGTTGTTCCAAAATTAAACAAGCTCAATCTGAATGCAACTTCTGCAATTCTTTGAGTAAATTTCGTTGACTTACTTACCCATTTCGTAGCTCCTGAGGGCAAAATTTTTAACGAGACCACAACACAGCAACACAGCGGTCAAACATGGAGCATGACTAAGTGAATAATTTTTGGCCGACTCCGCCAATTTCCTGTCAAACATTTCAAAGGAAAACAGCTGTCGCACAAAGCTATAAAAAACAATCGAAACGTTCGTAAAAATAAGGGCAAGTGACCAGACATTTCAAGAAGTTAGAAAAATACAAGTCATGCCGTCAAGGGACTTACTTTGATGAAGTCATTCTATTGCCTCAACACCTAGGTGCCCTGTGGTCCTGCTGTCTTTTAGACCAAGGCCTCCCATTTGGTCAGTCATTAGTGTCCACGAAACCTGTCTAGCTGTCCACCCTTAATCAATATCTTATAGAAAATGATAGGTTTCCTCGAGGTATGTGTTTTTCTGTTTGTCGTCTCGCACACATGACAGGACGGAAAACGCGTGCACTGTAAGTACCTCCCGTTGTCCCATACAAAGCCTTAGAAAACTTTTCTAAGGCTTTGTATGGGCTTTTTTTCTGGAGTATCTGGTAGCGCTCCAGGTTGCTTCAATATGCTTACCGCAAGGCGTCATAATCTCGTCACTTTGTGACAGAAATGTCGTTTAACTGAAAGTGAACCAGAACACCAACAGACCTATACATGTCTCAATTTTCCGATGAAGGAATGAAGGCATCAATGACACGTCATCGCTTGTCAAACTTTGTCAGTAAACATGACTTCCACTTACGTAATTGGCACAGGATATACAACTACTGATGAGGGAATAATAAATAAATCTGATCAGAAGTCTGTGGCAGGTCGGGTGATATTGAAACGCGTGGAAAATGCATTTTACATTTAAAAAAACTTTATACTTGGAGGATTTCAACTGCTTTTTTTTCTTCTGGTAGTCCTTGCATAAACCTTGTACCCTGTTTCATCCACATTAATTCTTCATAGTTGTACATTCACTGCGAACAAAGCTTTCCGGTTAATTTTTATCGTTTTATCGCGTTGAGATAGGCCGCTGTCCACTAGAATTTTCTACAACATTATATCAGTATGGAAACGCGGGCACAAACTCAGCCACAGGGAATCGAGTACCGAAGACGATCGCCAACAAAAAGCGCGCGCTTGGCGCGTGCTTGGCAAAGTAATCATGCCACGACGATCTCGGGAAAGTACAATCGAAGAAAAACGCAGCATGCGAAATCAAAGGAGGAAACGTGAACGATTGTCAAGGACAGCTAGGGAAAGGGAGAACAGAGAAATGAGAACACAAAAGGAAAGAGATGCATATTCTTAGCGCGAATGTATTATAGCAAATGGAAAGCATTAGTCTAACAGAATAAAAAGACCCTGGACAAAACCAAGGTAGGTACTCGGTTAGTGTCAAAATAGAATAAAACAGATATCAGAAAATGAGCAGTTGGTTACAAAAAACGATATCACCGAACTGACGCTGAACGTAATCAAACTAGCATTGTCTTGCATTGTACAAAACATCCTGGGGTTGACTTCAACATAAACTCATAGGGGGAGGGGAGAGTGTAGCCCTCAAAATTCTTCTCCTTTTTATGATGAAATGAAAAAAAACTACAATCATTTTCGTAAAATAAGGCAAGGAATCCCCATTTGAAATTGCCTCATTCTGAAATGATTTAGCGGGAATTCATTCATTTCTGTTTGCCGAGCAGACAGGCTAAACTTTCGTCTGAAAAGGACAGTCATTGAGCTTTGAGCATTTTCCCTTCCATCTTGCCATGTAGTGTTGATCTTGCCCTACCAAGGTTACCACAGATCAAAAAATGGCCAGGGAAAGAAATTTCAGGGTTAGGGAAAAGTCAGGGAAATTAAAGTTTTTACACCAATGAATTTCATACCATACTGGAAGAAATATTTCAGATGATCTCAGCAATGTTTTAATGAAGAAGAGGAGACTGGACATTTTGTATCCATTTCATCAGGGAAATTTTATTTTTATCATAGATAGGTCAGTACCTTAATAGTCAGGGAATTTTGGAAAGTTCTGTTTGTATTATATGAAAGGGATAAAGTTTATCAATAAATCTATTAACATAGGAATTACAATTTCCTCGACTGTGATTAGTTTTAAAAACTCCTATTTTCCACTAATTCACTTGCCAAGTTGTTGTTGGACAGTTCAATAAGCCAAATACATTCAAAGTTGTAGTTTAAATCAATCAATCACAACCTTGGTTTCAATCACCATAGAAACAGTGTACAGATTCCTAAATTGGGGCTTACTTAAGTCAACCAATCACATTCAAAGTTGTGGTTTAAATCAATCAATCACAACCTTGGTTTCAATCACCATAGAAACAGTGTACAGATTCCTAAATTGGGGCTTTCTTTAAAACAGAGAATTGGTTTCCCTTGAGCAATGACAATATTTAAGTGTTCTTTTTAATTTGGAAATTGTAATTTTTATGATTAATTGGTAAAAGGACTTTGTGTCATTCGTTTCGGTCTGTAATCACACTGATTTAAACAAATTGTACTTCCACTATGCAGTCGTCAGATTTTGTTATCACTCATATGATTACAGACCAAAGACTACTCAGTCCTATTACCACTTATTACACAATCTAGCATGTGAATCTTATTAAGCTGACCAGCTTCACTTTTCCTCTGTTTATTACTTTATTCCAGATTAGAGACAGGAATACAAAATCAGGACCACCCAGTAGCAAATTTGCCACTGTTAATTTAATTGATCCATCTGAGCTTCAACCAATCAGTGAAAAGGAATTAATACTAGGACAGGGTTCATATGGCTGGTGCATTTTAAAATCTTTCAAAAGATTAAACGTTCTTGTGGTAGAAAAACAATCTCTGATGCAAAGCACTAAAGAGATGGTAAAGGAGGCACAAATCATGTAGACTCTCACACACAAAAACATTCCTGCAATAATAGGAATCCAGCTTGAAAGAGAGCCTATATCTCTAGTGATGGAGTTCAAAGGGGAAGAAAATACATCCGCAACAGTCAGTAAACTATTGTATTGCAAAGAATCCAATGGTATATTAGAGAAAGTTAACAGTTCACTGACAAGCAAAGACTGGCTGATCATTTGTCATGATATCACAGATGCTCTCGCTCACATTCACTCCAAAGGCTTTTTTCATTGTGGTCTCAAATCAAACAATGTTAATATGTAATCCAAGATGGTGGCTCTGGGTCCCAGAACCTAACTTCTGAAGTTTGGTTTTATATGAGACAGGCAGAGTGAAACAAAGAACATGATTTTTACAGATTATGTGTAATACCCAAATTTTATGAACTGCTGAAATTGGCAATATTCTTTCAGTTATCTAAGGAGCTATTTATGACAAATTATGTTCTTATTATGCTATTTATGTCAAACAAAAAGAAAACTGCATGTAGGCTGCTGGTGGAAACCCTCTGTATTAGTCTGCCCTCTTCCACAGTTAGCAGTGGGATTAGGGAAAGTCACACCACAGTAAATTAAAAACAAAAAAAATTTATCACAAAAACAGTTCCAGCAGCACAGAAAGGCCACAATGTTGGATGGATGGCCAGGTATACAACTGGAAAATAAATTGCAAAATGTGTACCAGCATGTTTGTGTTAATCCCATATTATGAAGTATGAGTTGTTTTCAGTAACTCAGTGTCAAATTTTATGGTATAGTTTTCTGTTATAATAACTAATTATCATCATATTGGCTTTCCATTGTTAGACATTAATGCCAATTTCTTGACCAATTGGAAGTAAAACCAAGTATAACTTGTTTACATATCTAAAAGTAAATAAACAAAGTTAAAACTGGGTGGGTTGCCTTGAGAACCCATCTGTTCTGGTGTGTTACTTTCTGAGTTCTTAGAAATCAGTGCACACTATCTTAACTCTGGTGTAATTTTGAATATCAGAACCCTGAAGAATAGCTCTTACTAACAGACCTGGTGCATGACACAGTAGTTTGGGTGTGTTTCTATCTGACCAAATGATAGGCTTTGACCTGTTTTGAGACTTATCCGTGTCAATGGTACCATCCATCTAGTGTGTAAACATAGTACTTTTAAATGAATTCAGTAGACTTATTCATTTTATCATTATCATCTGCCACACAACTGTGTTCCCTATTAAATTAGTGTTCACTGTGAGATCTAGAATGACATAAATGTAGGCAAAAATGGTATAATAAATTATTTGAGCCTAAGCCTTCTTGTAGTTGAAATATTGGGAAAGAAAGGAAGAAGAAAATAATCAAGAATAGAAGAATTAGGCATATGCAAGATAACATTCTGTTTCCATTGTTACTTTAGCACATCAGTATTCCTGTTGTGAAGATGTCACATCTTTTATCAACAGGACTGCCAAGATGACTCATCTTTTTGCCAGTTTCTGTTTGCTATTGTAACAATAACTCTTGCAGTCCACTGGCAAAGGCCAAAAAATTAACTTAGGAATAAAACAAGGATGCTGTGGCTCAAAAAACTTTGTATTAGGACACTGCCAGCTTGAACCTAGGAGTCAGCATTTAGGCTTTGAGTTTAAGCAGAGACTTTTCCCTTTTTCTAAAATTTATGATCTATTTGCAAGCATTTTCACAAGCCAAAGCCAAAGCCTTCTCTTAAAATTAATGATTGAAAAACCAAGGTATGTTAGTTAACATTTTCTTTCAATTATTAAGTTTCATTGTGGCAACTTCACCTTCACCTAACTTCTTCGCGCCAAGTGGCACAGAAGGCCTCATCCCTGAAACATTTTTGTATTTTCATCTCTCATCTCGTACCTATCCTGTGTATCCGTGTATGTAAGCTATGTTCGCGCTAAAAATCTGAAGGTGGGAGGATAACCGTAACTCCACTGACTCACCTCTACAAGTTAACATTTCTCACAGTGCTAGTTCCTCTCATATTAAATAAGTCGTGCTGATTAGACATGGTCGAAATGTAAATGGTATTTTTGACAGAATAATTGAAGACAAGTACGCATGCGTTAAGGGTGTCTGGCTCGATATTTCGATACGCCCACGAAATCAATTGACCGTGAAGATCTGGGAGAAAGCCGTTTACCAACAGGCTACTGGAAAGCGCTTTTAGTTTTTCACCATACGGGATAGCTGCATACCCACAAATATGTCGTAGAAAGAACATGCCATCCTACCACTAACAAACAACTTGTGGTTGAAAGCCGGTTAAGACAACAGGACAACAGGCAAAAGAATGGAGTCTTTTATTAAGATTAAAGAATCATATTACGACATTCATAAAATTAACCAGGACTCCATTCACGAGCGATGACACATTGATCTCTATAGTTTGAAAGGTTATGGAGTCGCATTACAACACTAACCAGGACCCCAATAACTAGCGATGATAAGTTGATCCCCTACAGTTTGACATGCTTTCACACATTTCCAACAGACCCGGGGAAATAACGCTGCGGGAGATGATACTTGAGAATTTATTGCGATGCAGTACTACATTTCTACTAGAGATTTGCAAAGCCACCGGAGAAAAGATTACGAAGTAAAGTGATTTGGATTACTGGTGCATCGAGCGGAATCGGCGAACATTTAGCTTACAAGCTAACTGAATTTGGCTGCAAACTGGTGCTATCAGTGAGGAGAAAAGACGAATTAGACAGAGTGAAAAGTCAGTGCATGAGTAAGTTTTACTCCAAGTTATTTTAGTTCTAAAAAGTTAATTCGGATCATGTGTACTATAGGTGGACTCGGTCGACATATCGGGCGACAGTCGACCGATATATCGGTCGACTATCGGTCGACTATCGGTCGACTATCGGTCGACTATCGGTCGACTATCGGTCGACTATCGGTCGACAATCGACCGACTATCGGTCGATAGTCGACCGATAGTTGACCGATAGTCGACCGATAATCGACCGATATATCGACCGACTGTCGGCCGATGCATCGGCCGATATGTAGCGATCAACTGCCGGTGAAGTATCGGTCAAGTACACGAGGTGAGGGAAAGTAGTGGCATAGGGGGACGGAGCTTTTAAAAGAATCTTTATACTTCAATTAATTTCTCAAAACAGTTTCAAAAAATTTTCAAACCAAAAGAAGGCGACTCACTTACATGTCATTGAATAAGTTTATTGTGATATGCCTCGATCCTCAAAGCCTCCCGACACATGTAAATGAGGTGGACCAAAGTGGCAGGGTATTCTGCAGTTGCTCCAAAAAATGATTGAAGTTCAGTTATATATTATAACTATAAATAATAGTCTTTGTTTTCTTGTTACATAGGCTTGGCAGGAAAGCTTTTTCCATTAACATTTGAGGAAGACTTTCTTGTTGTGCCATTGGATATTACAAATTTCGCTTCTCACGAAGACTGCGTTACCAAAGCTCTTCAACAGTTTGGCAAGGTCATGATCTCTGCTTTAATGTGTTCTGCTGTAAATTTCAATGATATTCGAACCAAAGCGTACATGTACTATGTTTTCTTAATGACAGATTGATTTTCTAGTGAATAATGCAGGAATTTGTAGATATTTCAGTCTTGAACACAAATGTACTAAGGACAATCTCTCTTACCAAAGCTGTTCTGCCCCACATGATTGGAGAAGGAAATGGTCAAATTGTTGTAATAAGTAGTGCCTCTGGGAAATGTGGTAAGTTTGATATCTCACTCAAGAGAGGGGCAAAGAGGAGGGGGGGTGGGGGGTGGGTGGGAGTAAAATATACATCATGCTGAAAATTCTGCATTACAACATAAACGTAATGAAGGATGTAATATATCATTCTGAAGGGAGGGAAGGGAGAGAGGGTACTTTTCATGAGAAAAGAGCAGCCACACATGCTGAAAATTTTGCATTAAAGCATTAATGCAGGCTTTACCTTTTCTCAGTCCTCATATGATACCACCTCACAGATACACATTTTGAGTCAAGCGTGGGTGGAGTTCACGGAAAATTTATACATATTTTTCCTTAGGTGCCTAGATCATCAACAAGGGTTTTAACTCTCAGCTCAAATTTGTAATTCTTCTTATAGTCAACCATATTATTCTTATAATGTTAGTTCAGAGAATTTAGTATTGGATCAACTAATTATCAGCACTTAATTATCTGGTTGATACTGTGTTGATATTGTAAGGAGAAATTCTGTCTTGGTCACTTATGGGAGTTAAAGGGTTAAATTTTAACATAAAAGCTGAAAGATTGCATGTGTTTATCCAGAAAAGTGAATTCGCTGAGTAAGCAAAACAAAATTTAAGGATTTGCACTCCAAAGGGAAACAGAAAATTTTGTAGTCCTACGAGAATATCTCTGCAAGCAAAAATTTTTTATTGAAGAACAGAGAACACGTAGCACATGTAACTTTGTTTGACACATGGCTAAGATCACTTTTTACTTTTGGGCTTTGAGGTCCCTTTTGACTCAGTTTGTGTTTTATGTAGTTGAAAGTTGTTTTAAGCCATCCCATTTTACTGGAAAATAATTCCCTGAACCTGTCAGTTGTTGAGTAGAGAAATCATGAATATCTAATGAACTTCATCTTCCCTGTATGCACTACATGTATAAGTTGCAGGCCAAGCCTTTCACCCTTTTAAGTATAAGATACATGCCATTTCTAGCATGTTATATTATTTGCACAAGGTACTATCATGGTAACACATTTTTCTTTTTATATTTGATGAATGCCTCAAGACAAGTAGGATATTAATTAGCTGGTATTCATTTTGCAGCAGCAGGACCTAATACAGCTGTGTATGCAGCTTCCAAACATGCTCTTCAGGTGATTGACTAGAACTGACATATTGCACTGTTTCTGTTACTGATTATATGATATGTATTACCAAATACACTAAAGCATTACAGGCAGGTATTGTGTCCACTTTTCATGACTTCTTAAAGAAATATTTAATATGTCTTTGGACATATTCTGATCAAGTTTGGCTACTCATAGACTTGGGCTGATATGAACAAGTTCTTAATGCAACTTGAAGCACTCTGAGTTTGAATCCTTCCTATCTTCCATTCAGGACAAAAAATAAATAAATAAATTAAAAAAAAGGTTGGAAGGTCAACCATGTACTAGGAATTACACTTGGGACAGACTAACAAGTTTTTCGAGGACTTCTGGAAAGTGAATGAAGGTTAACCCTTTAACTCCCAGAAGTGATTAACATGAAACTTCTCCCTATGTTTTCCATACATTATTCAGCAAACAGGTAAAGAGAATATTTGAACTTATCAGGTAGAAGCTGCTATCTTGATCTAGCACCAAGTTCTCATAACTAATTTACAAGGAAATGTGTAGCAGCTAGAGGGGAGAATTAACAATCAGATCTTGGAAGTTAAAGGGTACTAGACAAACAATGGTGAGCTAACATTATAAGCTCACCATCATTTATCTTACTGGCCATGTTTAATCTTTACTCCCCACCCCCACCCCTCTCCTTATTTTTGACTATCAACCGTCCCCCTGGTACAAATTTCTTTCTCTCCCCAGCCTTCCACTGCCATTAAAATCAAAGATGGGGACTACAATTTTTGTTATGAAATTACAGAGCACTTGCTTGCCAAAATCACACCTGCTCTACAGGCTAAATTTTTGTGAATTAATGATTTGGGGCTGAATTGTTTTTACTTCGGGGGGCAAACTTGTATAGGTTGTAGGGGTAAACTTCCTATAGGGAAAAATCTCCAGTTACTCTTTTAAAGCTTAAAAATTAGAACAAAATTACTGTCCAGTATGTAATAAATATACTTGTATAATTTACAGGGTTATTTCAATACTTTGCGCATAGAAGTCCATGAAAAGAATGTTGGTGTCACAATGATATGCCCTGGCCTAGTGTATTCAAACATTTTAAAAAATGCATATCGAGAGAATATTGAGGTATGTTAATGAAATCCACCTTTCATACTATTATTTACTAAATAAAATAAAAGCATGGTTGAACCAAATCAACACATTTAAAATCTCCTTCATAGCTGACTCATTCCTCCCCCCCCCTCCTTTAGGTTAGGATCAGGTGCCTCTCAACCAATCAGATTCAAAACTTAAATCAATCCCAACTTGGTAACTTGCACTTTCCCACACTTCAAGGAGATTGCTTGTGTTACTCTGAGTTCTCATTGGGTAATGGTGATGTTAACCCATTAAGCCCCAATAGTGACCAGCATCTAATTTCTCCCAACAATATCACTACCTGATCAAATGTATAGATCATGAGAATAAATGAAATGATCACCAAAGATGAATCGTCTTGATGTTTGAACAAATTCTCTCAATCAGTAAAATAAAAAACTAGGAGAGAACAGTGACAAGAATATACATGTTGATATGGGATCTTAATTAAAGGGTTAACCTGTGTTCTGATTGGTTGTTGTGATTCATTTGGTTTTGGTTTTGAGATACTCAGTTGAAAAACTCTAGCAAAAGATGATTAAGCTAAGACATCAAATCTTCTAAGTTTTCTTTATTCCACAGGACATCTCAGGACATCTCTCTCTTGCACAATTGTATGACTTAAAAAAAAAAAACTTTTTGTTCACTTTACAGACTCGCAGGGATCAAGTCTTTCCTGTGACAACCATCAAAACAGAACGATGCGTGCATCTTATTATTATTGCCATGGCAAATGCTTTGAATGAAGTGTGGATTGCTATTCCAAAACGAATGATAGAATTGTATCTTTCACAGTATCTACCACTTGTCAGGAACTGGTAAGGTAATTTATAAGCTATGGCAGTTGTATTACATCTGTTTTGCCTCTCTTGTCTCCCAGTACACTATGGTATTGGTGGAAAATGTAATTATACATCCTCCAATCAGGTCTACATGGCTTCAGCCATTCAGCGAAATGTGGAGGTTTACCACGGAAAGAGGATTCCTCTTGAGTCCAAATGGCAGCTCATGGTTGGACGCCTTACAAGAGGCTCCTACAAGGCCAAATTTTCAATCACTGCACTTACTGTAAAAACTGACTCAAACGAAATTTCCTTGCAGAAATTGTTTTGGTCATAGGAGCACCCTTCGAAAAGCCACATTCTGGGTGAACTAGGCGCACTCTACCATGTCTCTTTGAATTTGAGACTCAGTACGACTTCAATAGCTGCGTATTCCGTTGAGCGAGCTAATAAGGATCGAATGAAACTGTGCTTACGTTGAGCGCGTTAGGATAAGAGCTTCTGAAATTTTTCGTTGTTCAAAGAACATTCTCTTTGAAAATTTTGATAAGAATTTATGAAATTTGCGGAAAATAAATAGGCGAAAGAGTCATGAAAAGTGGTTCTTTTTTTCTTAAATATTGTTACTTGACAACAATTTACTTACAATTTTTTGCCTAATCAAGCTACGGGCATGCCATGGAGAGAACAGGTAAAATCAGTGGGTGGGCTTAATACTAGAGACAATCAGAAGGACTTTTCATGCCTGTGTGTTTGTCTGATAGACGTCATGACAGTTAGTTAGCTTGGGGTGAAAAAGATAAGATCAATTGCTATATATAGGTGGAATCAGATAAATGCAGATGGGTGGAATCAAATCACCATGAGAGAGCACACTGTTTTTTTTGCAGTGGGAAATGGCTTTCATAGTACAAGCTTTAAAGGCATCTGAGCACTTTTCAATCACTGCATTTATATGAAGCCCATTGCTCTGATGTTTGCTCCGCCATTATCTGTTGAGGCAAAATTTCCACACTTGATACTATCGTCCGGAAAACAGTTAATACCAAATCTGATTCTAGAATCGCATGAGAAGCAGTCATCTTCATTGTCAGCGACCATGAAATTCTTGCTTGAGCATTTCTCCTATGAAAGCATTCAGCACTGAATCCTTCCTTACCACAGTAATACTACAAAGATGCTTGTAAACCAATAATCGCCTTTCACGAGTCACGACCCAGTAAATAGAGTCGGCTGCTTGATGGTGACAATGAACCTGAGCTGTGGGTCGATCTATATACCAAGACAGATCTTTTAGAAGGAAGTGTTCAAGAATTGTCTCATTTACATCAGTCCAATGCTTTGAGTGATAATCAAGGGTGGTCTGTCAAGAAATTAAAGATTCCGAAACTCATATCTTTTACCTGATTGAGTTATGATTAGGATATATTTCATAAGCACTGAATATATGGTACAAAACGATACTGTACAGCGGCGGAATGAGTGCGCATGCTCGGCGGATATGGCGCTTTCAGGGAGCGTTTTGTGACTCTAGCGTGAATGATTTTCTTTAATGAACGAACAGAAAATCGTTTCACACTTTTTTGGACAGTAATTAATGTGAAACAAGGAAACAATTAATGGAGGTTGCGGTTATGGAAAGGTCTGAAGGTTAGGAAGCATTTTTTAAATTAAAGGTCATCGTAAGCAGTTTTAAATTTAGCCAGAAAGCAAAGGCAATAGCAGTCGCTACGAAATTCGTTACCGTGTTACGGATGCTCTACTTAGTCCATAAATTCACATCTGTGACAGCAAATTTTTTTTCTGTTGAGTGAGATATGTGACGGGGAAGTTTCCAAGGATCTTATCTGTTTTGCAAAATGAAAGCAAACAATGGAAATTTTTAAAATGCCGCCATTTTTCCGCAATACTGTTACTGAAGAAATACTGTCGTTTCCATTCCTTTGCACAAGTAAAATTTCTCGCGCGTTACAAGCATGCTCACTTATTTCGCCACTGTGTCGAACAAAACTGAGTCTTGTGTAGCATGCGCACTATGCCTCACCTCTTTCGCAGTTTTCTCCCCAATAACCATCTTGACACACACAGAGGTATTTTTTATATGTAAATCCCCTCAGGCACGTCCCATTAAACATGCAAGGATCACTGGAGCAAGGGCTCTGATAGGTACAAAAAAGGTGAAGGATAAATTATCTTAAGCTCTTTATAAAACCGATGATGGGAAAAAAAGTTACATCACAACCCCTCCACCTAGATGGTTTCATTGATTACTTGAAGTACCAGCGTGAGCTATCTTCTAAAATTAACTCTTGTTATCCTGTTGATAAATCAATCCAGATGCTTTCAAAACGATTAAAACTTAACGCTGATGACCATCCATGTAATTTCAGTTAACAGAGGAAAAAAGGGGGGGTCTAAGCTTTTCACCAAAGTGTGAGGACTGAAGTTGGTACATTTTTGGGATCGAACTACATTTGTGTACGTTACTTCGCAGCAGAGTATCAACATGGCTGGCTTTCGGGGTGAAAAGCTCTGTAACTTAATTTGTAACCTTGACCACACCACTAACCTCTTACCCAGGGCGGAAAACTTCGCCGTTGTTTAAGTTTGCATGCTTTTGTCTCTCTCCGTGATCCAACAAAAGTTTTCGACAAGTGATCCTCTTTCTCAGCTCTGTCATCAGACAATCTGCAGAATTACATAGAGGTATACGTAATTTTTTCGGTAATCTTACCTCAGTACCAGTGTAGGTAAACCCATCTCGTGGTTTCAGGTCTTCAGGATGTCTAACGTGATCAGAATCGCTCAACTGACATAGCACTTGATCGTTTATTGATGGACCGATGTTAAATGATGCGCAGCTATTATCAATTACACACTTTCCTCTACAGGAATGACGCATACCCACGTGCAAAGTAATGTTTTTAATCACGTGACCCACGAGGGCGCTGCCATCTATTGATGGGGTGAATTTCAGAGATCGGCAGGAATCTGCAAAGAAGTGGGATAAATAGTGATATTAAAGCAACGATAGGAGTAAAAAAAGTGAAAAAATATATGTATAAAACGAAGTGAACCTGACGATATCATCAAGGCGCTGTCCTCAATTAGTTACTGATGATGTGAGAAACTTATGATTGTTTAAGACTCAAAAAGTAAACGTACCGGTTGTAAACGTTGTTGTGACATGAGTTTCGAGCTGAGATGATTTTTGCACTCGGCGTGCATATTTTTTTTTTTATATAAAAAGAGCTGTTTTAGCATGTTTAAAAAAGAAAGCGAGTGCCTCCCAAGCAAGTTGTACAATTCTGACTACTACGTTTTATCAAATGTTCTGTTTGTTTTTCTTGTACAACTCCTTTCACATCTTAAACTCTTCAGTAACTCTATTTCAAGAAGAGTGGCATGGACAGCAACAGCACACGATTGAGTTGTGGCCTCCATTACTATACCCAAGGGCATCCGTGCTATGATGCGCAACCAGGAGCAAAGAATTGTTCACCAATCCTTTTTTTAAACAGAAGTGCTGCCTCTACCATCCTTTCACTAAATGGAAATAGATGGGAAGGCCGTCGTACAAAAATCAGCAGATGTTCTCCAGAACAAAAAACAAAAAAACATACAAACAAACTAGGGAGCCGTGTCCCTAACGACCACTGGCGCGATTTGTTGTTCGCCTGCTTTCACTTGCCTCCTCTGACTCAGGGCCTGGAGCAACCTAAAAGCTAAGTGGTGTCACGGCAGTAGATTGAATAATTAAAAAGAGCAATTTTCGTTTACCTGTATGACAGCCGTACAGCTCTGCTCTCATTGAAATATGGTATTTCCAAGCTACCGGTCGGAAACGAACATAGCGCGCAGTGACTGGTGGGTTTAAGACGTTTACCACAACGGTGTCTTTTTCCGTGTTTCCATTAAACTCCTTAATAGGATAAATTAAGAATTACTAATGATATTGGATAAAATTCAAGAATTGGCAGCTTAGACCTGCCAGTTTTGATCAACACTCTAACTCCCAAGATCTGATTGGTGATTCTCCCTAATAGCTGCAATACATTTCCATGTAAATAACAGTTATGACAATTTGGTGTCATATCATGATAACAACTCATATCTGATAAGTTTGTCTGAGTATTCTCTTGAACTGCTTGATGGATAATCTATGGATATTAAAAAGAGAAGTTAATTTTTGATCACTTCTGGGTTTTAAGGGATTAACAAGAGGAATTAACTCTCTTTTCTGAGAGCTTTTCCTCTAGTTAAGCTGTCAAGTACGCTCGGTTCATTCATGCTTCCAACTGATCTTGCTAAGAATATCAAAACCTTATGTACATGTGGTCCACTTGGTACTCTTTCTTTTTAAACACATTTTAAAATTATTTTAATTATTCTGGCGAAAAGACGCATGCACGAACAAATGTATGGAAGTATACGTTCTGAGAACATTCGCATGAAATTTGCAATCTTACTTTATCGGCACTTTGTCCTTCTTCCTTGAAATATTGCAAGCTTCCTTCATCATTACCATACTGCAGTTTGTACTTTGTAACCCACTGATTAACTCCATTCCTTCCCTGCGTTCCTACGCGAGTAACTTTGGTCTGTTGATCTCTCAGATCAATCTGCAGCCACTGTTTATCATTATTTTTCCTCGTTGACCAGGCTCCTCCTTTTTCGGGGCCTTGTTCATGATGTAGTCTGCCATTTTTGGGGCTAAGACTGCTGTCCCATTGGGAAGAGGCGCTAATTTGACTGTCAGATATTGCACCATTTTCCATGCCAAGAGGGTACGTGTATTCGCATTCTAAACGTTTATCCAGTAGTAAAAAAATAAGCACAAATACGTCTTCTAACGACAAAATAAATATCTTACGTTCAGAAAAATCCAGCCCCTGGAAGAACAGGTGCTTAATTAACATCTTCACATACAAATACTTAAGATATTGAAGGGAAAGGTTGTCTATCCTCTCAAAACCTCCAGAATTTATCGAGTGACCAAGATTGATAATTAAAGCAAATTTAGCACAGAAACTTCGTAGACACTTACATTAGGTTATTTACCTTCTGAAGCAGTGGTACAGTGGAAAAGATAACTTCCCCAGAAGAAAAACGATAAGGTGCGAGCTAACTCAAAATGGTGTTTCATTTTCAGCAATGATGCAGGATAATTAATCAGTTCTTTGATCGCAGTACAATCAACCAACCACAGAAAGTTGATAGACAGTGAGAGCCTGTTCATCAAATAACAATAAAGTCAGTTTACTTAGCCGGATAATTAACTTTTCCATTTACTTAACCTGAGGATAAATTTTGAGATAATATCTACTCTTTAAATTTGTTTTTCCCATTTTTTAGAGCGGAGTCACATCCTACTGTTTAAGGTACATAAGTATTCTGAGTTTGGCCAACATCTGCCCCAACCAAATTAACCAATCAGAACGAAGCCATGAAGCCTGAACGTGATGTTATCAAACCCTTTTTTTTTTCAATATCAGAGCTGTGAATTCTCACCTCAGTTTCCTATTTTTAATGGCCTGGAGTTTATTGAATCCTCTTCCTTAATTTGACAATTCTCACACCAGTTCATACTTAAGCAAGTACATTGTAAAGCTTTTTCGATTACATAGACGACTGCGTTCCGATTACATTGATTACGAAGTTGAGTATGCTTAAGGTCATGTCAGTTGTAGTAATAAAGTCTACTGTGGAACCAAAACGCTGTCTTATCCTTGACTTCCGTAAAAGTTAGATCACAGTGTACTAGGAAATCGTGACGAGTTTCCGTTTCCACTGCCGAGTTATCTCTACAAAGCTTTTTTTTCGCACATTTTTGTTGTGCCTTCTGCGAGAGTTCAGTTGTGCACGAAAACCTTATCGTCACACAATAGCGTCTTAAGACTATTACAAAAATGCAGAGTAGCGTAACATCACACCACAAAAAAATTATAATGATTTAAAAAAATAGAAAAAAATTATCATCAAGCCGTCGATTTTACGAACAACTTGGTTGTTTTCACGCAAATTCGTTAAATCGAGGTTTTCGATAAAACGAACCAGTTTTGCCACTCCCTCGGGCATTTTGTTAAATCGAGATTCCACTGTATATAGCAATTCAAATTGCACAGTTTCGGCATTACACGAAAAATGTTTCTGTCAGATAGCTGCAAACTTAGATATTAACTTTCTCTTTGTCTTCCCAGTAATGTAAAATATTTTTTTCACAATTTTTTTTCTGCGGTCTTTTGTTGACCGATTTCTTGTTTCACAGTAAAAATCTTATTTGTCTCGAACTATTCTCCTCCTTTACTATGATTTCTGTTACCTTTTTATTCCCGAGTTCTTCCCTCGCCCATGTTGTGAATATTGGGAATCGTTGCAAAAATCAACCAACAAAGTATTCTCTTTAAAAAAATTTACATTTTGAGAGTGTCTCCGCGTGTATCCCTGCATTGATAATAGAGACCAATTGAAGTATAAGAGGTAATTAAAGAAAAGATATCAGATATGTTATGTTATGATTACCCGACTATCTTCAACAGCTTGTGTTTCTTAAATTTTTTAATGTAATGTTTGACATCAAACTTGAAACGGTTTTCCTTACTTTTAAAATTCAGATTTCACTGTTGCGTTCAAGATGTGAAACGTAATTCCAGGAGACAATATTTTTCGATATTTGCTCTTAATTATTTAAAACAGACCCGACAGGTTGACGTTTTTTGTTATACCGGCTAAGAAATTATTAAGAGCGCTTGTCTGTAAAAATCAGACAAATTCTAAATTTCGCGGCAAGGGTGAAAAATTCTATTTCTTTCTTATTTTAATATTAGATAGGCTAGACTATAACTAAAATCACTGGATACTTTTTTTGGCAAAATATCTTTTTATTTCAGAGAAAAATACAAATAACAAAATTCCGTTAAAATCGTCATTTTTAGCAACAAATTATTGCACAAGTTTGAGGGCTTCGCATTCAAAAACGAATCACTATCTCGTCGTTTTAACACTCAAATCTTCTTTTTCAACCTCACAAGACCTCACTAAATGATTTTTGTAAACACTGCGTTCCTCTTTGCGTGTAAAATAATTTAATTTCGAAAGCATACATTTCTCTTCAGTAAAATTACTTTGTGAGTAAAGTTAATTTTCAGCATGTGCTAAACCTTCAAATGGATTAAGCTTTTGGCGGTAGAATAACGAAAAGATGTTCTCAATATTACTGTAAATATTACTTTGGGCAAATGATTGAAAGCGATACAAAAGCTTTTCAAAGTCCGTTAAAATGCAGTTATTTTACCTTTCGCGGTCAACATTCCAGTCGCAAGTCACACACATATTTTAATATGTCTCAACCCATATGAGGCCGGAAAATGTACATGGGTACACATTTCCAAATGCTCTAACCTCATTCGCCGTTGAAGAAAGATCCAAAGACCATTATATTGTGGTTATCTTGTCGCTCGTCGTATTTATAACGTCCGATGAAACTGCCTGTCAATCTGCGAACGGTCACCAACCTTTGACATCTTTCTGCACTGTGGCATCTTATCCAACGGTTCAGTTGACTGTGAGTGTTGTTCAGTTTGTGGTGCAGTAGATCTGATCGATGCTTTTAAAAGTGGCACTACACACATGTTGCAGTCAACGTAGTGTTGTATACTGAGAGTCGTCACGCAATGCAAATCATATAATGGAAAGTTGTTTTTTAGGGGGTAGAGGAAGGGGAAAGTAAAAAGACGTCACTCTGCTACTCAGCTTTTTTGTCGCTGCGAACATCGAAATCTCTTACATGTCGCGGAGATCGGGCCTTTGCTAATACTCGCTGAAAAAGCTAAATTTAGTAACTGCTAAAAATAGTAAGCCTAAGTAAACCGCTTATGGTGATTACACTATGCCTATTGTTTGCTTAGAGGCGGGGCTTCGGACTTTGTTTTTCACAAATACACTAACTTAGGGCCTGTTTACATGGAGGTGGGGGACCCCAGGTAGGTGAGGTAACCCGCCTGTCCATATAAATTCTTATTTTATTTTGATCACGTTTACATGATAGGTGGGGGTGACCCGCCTACGCGGGTTGCCCGGTCTGATAGGTAGGGTAACCCGGTCAGCTGGGGTGACAGTTTGCCATTTAAGAGAGTGTCTCTGTAAGAACGGTCCGGTCGATTTTGCTTGAGACACGGATTTCGCTCGTTTCTCGTGTGTTGTAAGACATTCATGTACCTATACTAAAACCACAATCAGTTTGATCGGATCTCTTTATTTTTCAGAGTTTTACGGAAATTAAATTTCACTCGAGCGAAGGCTTGTCGTGACACTTTTCAAGACTTTAATTTCATACAACTTTGGAGGACAATTTACAAAAAACTACGGAACTCAGCAAAAAACAAATACCACAGCCATGTATATTAACTCTATCTTATCTATCGAGGCGACTTTCGTAACCATCACGTGTCAATAAAGAAAACAGGAAGACTTGAACGACACCTTATCGGTTCGCCTAAATCACACACGCCAAAACCGATCAAATTCAAGGTAAATTTTTGAAAAAGTGAGGCGTTCTTAACTGATCCAACTAACATAGCTAGGAAGTAGGTGCCATAGAAAAGGTAACTACAGAAAAAAACTTTGCAGCCCGACCTTTACGAGAACTTTATAACTCCGTGAACCTACCTAATTTTCGGCAATCTCCAAGTTTGGCCGCCATTTTGAGGGACTTGTCAACATGAAGCGTAACCGATATAAATCAAGCAGGTAGATTTAAAACCGTCAGAAATACATACGAAAGCAATTCAAATGAACTTTACTTTCAAAAATTTGAAATTGTTCGTTAAACTTACCATCCCCATGCGACCATTTCTTCCAACAATTCAATCACTACAACTTTCTGAATTCCCCTCGTCGATTCCACCGCAAGAAATAGCCTGTGCCACCCAAGCTTCGACTCGAATGTGAAGTACGAATCAAATAACATAACTGCTTCATCTTCGCGGCAATATCACGCTGGTATTTTGATTTTCCGAGCGACAAGAACGGTGATCAGAATCGATCGGTTTGTTTACCTCATAGACGTGACCGCTGACCAGCTGCTGAGTGAAAACAGTACGGTTCAGTGGCGAGGGGCGGGGTGAGGGTGGTTCCGGGCAGATTATCAGAAGATTTTTGGGAACATTCGAACATATGCATTAAAGTATCATGATAAACATTAGGATTCTCAGCCTTAATGCGAAGGCATGCTTCGTGTTGCAGACAACTTTTATTTTACTTAGTATTCTTTTTTTATTTCAAATACATTTCGTTCCAAATAGGAATAGCATCAGTTCATAGATTTAAAAACAAATCTTTACCACGTAAATAAATGTGTTTAGATAATCGAGATAACCATTGAATCTCTTGTATCGCACCGGAAATAACGTGTCTTGTCTTTGCCCAACTCTGAGAGCGTGGAGCGGCAAAGACGCGAGATACGAGTCTCGCGTCTCGCGGCTTCTCCATGCTCACAGGATACGCGTGACCTCACTATCTTTAAGAAAAATAAGAGACTGCTCGAAGTCTGTATTCCGTTCAACCATTTCATAAGAGTGACGCGAGTCTTCAATTGAGTGAGAAAGTCACAAACCCATTCTTTACCTCACGAGCGTAACCACTGACCACTCACGAATTACAATAGGCTTCTCCTTTGACGCGGAAATTGAAATCGTATCGAATATACAAAGTTATAGTGAGTTCCTTTAGATCTCCCGAACTTGTATCGCGTTGGAAACAATTACAAGTACAGGAAGAAGTCGTTCATTAGCGAGACGTTCATTATGTCTCAGGACTCCTTTTTGAATAGCAAAGATGGAAAAAACTTTGGTTCATCGTGTGGCTTAAGTGGTTTGGTACGACTGTCTGAATGCAATGACGAAGTAAAACATCATTTGATAAGCTGCCACCTGTCTAAAGAGGTTTTTAAGTGAAAATGAGCAAATCTTGGCAAAGATTGGCCTATTTCACCTCGCTCAGGAGGATAAACAAAAAAATGTGGATTTGCTATAGGCATCGCCACACTCTGGGGAAGTTTTGGAGAAGTGCAAAGGTAACATGTCAGTATCCTGATCATGATGGTGTCAGGAAGTGTATCCAAGGCAGAGATATAATTACCTTGCATATGTCTCAGGACATTCAAAAGCTGTTTGGAGTTATTATTCCAGTTGAATCAGGTAGTCTTCAGTAACATTTTCTGTTATCTATTTTTGTCACGTGACATATCTGCTCGAAAAGAGAAGAAATTCTTTATTAGATGAAAGGTACTTAAGTGCACATCACGTTGAAAAAAAAATAGATCTATGTGTAAGTGCTTTTAATTACTGATGGAAATATGTACAATATTGCTCGGTTGATAATCAATAATGTTTTTGTAGAAGATCAAATTACCTGACAACGCAATATACTTACTCATGCGTACGGTTCACAATTATTTGCGGTCAGTTTTCCTCAGTTTGTATGATTCTCATTAACCAGTATGATTAAATTTGCAGACTAAAACACCCCTTATTTGATTAAGAATAATAAAAGTAAACAGTGCATGTCGGTGTTTAATTCCTGATGGATGCTACTGGGCTTTACTTTAACTGAGAAATTTGCAATCGCTTACCTCAACTCTCTGTGTCCCATGCCGTAAGAAGCACAAGAAAAAAGTTGATGATAGTGAGTCTTGGCTGAGACAAGAAGAATCAGAAAAGAATCTACGGTCCCCAGAAACGCCACTTTTAATCACGAGACAACTAAGGTAAATTGAATTAAGTGTTATTTGTTTTATTTAAAACTATCGTTCAGATTATAAGATACGCGAAAAACTCTCCCCACCGATTTTTTTTTACATTCTGTTAATCAAAAGTTTCAATAATCATAAAGGCTTTCTTGTTGATCGTCTTAATATTAACAGTTTCCAGGATCCAAAGGGAGCAAAAGGAACTCACTATAACTTTGTATATTCGATACGATTTCAATTTCCGCGTCAAAGGAGAAGCCTATTGTAATTCGTGAGTGGTCAGTGGTTACGCTCGTGAGGTAAAGAATGGGTTTGTGACTTTCTCACTCAATTGAAGACTCGCGTCACTCTTATGAAATGGTTGAACGGAATACAGACTTCGAGCAGTCTCTTATTTTTCTTAATATTTTTCTTGGAGAAGCCGCGAGACGCGAGACTCGTATCTCGCGTCTTTGCCGCTCCACGCTCTCAGAGTTGGGCAAAGACAAGACACGTTATTTCCGGTGCGATACAAGAGATTCAATGGTTATCTCGATTATCTAAACACATTTATTTACGTGGTAAAGATTTGTTTTTAAATCTATGAACTGATGCTATTCCTATTTGGAACGAAATGTATTTGAAATAAAAAAAGAATACTAAGTAAAATAAAAGTTGTCTGCAACACGAAGCATACCTTCGCATTAAGGCTGAGAATCCTAATGTTTATCATGATACTTGTTAAGAATCAAAAATTGTATCGCGGGCGCATTTTTTTTACACGTGTAATACCAAAGGAAGACATGTTGATTCTGAGACCCCGCTGTTCATTCTAGCGTGAGATTAAAAGGTAAAAGCTATCACTCTGTGTCACGACCCTTTGATATTGACCGTTCTGCCGATTGAGAACAATTGTGGTCCTTCGAGCCGGATTGTTTGGATTTAGCGACGACAGAGAGTGGATTTTAACCGAACAGACGAATGAACAGTAATGGCGGACACCAGTAAACCAGACCAAGACCTGACTAGCGGAGGAGAAGACTTGCCGCCTTTGACGAAAGAAAAACCACCAGACGTTGTAATCGAACAGGAAAACGAAAGCGAGAAAGATGCGAGCGCAGTAAGTACCGCTAGTGGTAAAATTCAATCGTTACGTAATAACAAGAAGTCAGCCAAGACTAGACTTACGAAAGCAAAGAATCAGTTGATTGATCTACTGGGAAGTAACACAGTAACAGGAACTTTGCCGAGTAAAAACGCTGTTCGGAGAGCCATTAACAAAATCAAAGCAGAATTAACTCTTATTGAAAAAATTGTCGCCAGTCTTAAAGAAGTTTATGCACTGAACGAAATTGCAGAGGCAGATACAATTATTGAGTCACTTGACAAAGAGGCGGATGAGATAGTAGCGTCAGTTGACGAGGTTATTGAGAATGCTGAAAGACACGTGCAAGAAAGACTAGACAAGGGAGAGGAAGAGTCAGTTCTGCTTTCAAATAAGTCACAGGCAAGTGATGATAAAGTCTCCTTAGCATCATCGTACGTAAAACAAAAACAGTTGGAAGCAAAACAAGCCAGTGAACGCCTTGCTCAAGTAGAAGAAGAGCAAAAACAAAAGGAGTTAGAGCTTGAAAAAATAACTGCCGAAGTTCAGCTAGCCAAACAGCGGGCTGAAGAAGCAAGGAAGGTTGCTGCTCTGAATAAACTGAGAGCAGATGCAGCAGAGCGAGAGTCTGGCTTACTCAATAAGGATGACACTTCACTGGGCATCTCCCGTTCCCCTGATCTAGTTTATGAAAAGAATGCCTGTGGACCTGGCCAGTACCCTGGAAGAATAGTACAAAGGAGCTTACCTGTCAAGCTGAAAGGTGTCGATCTCCCTAAGTTCTCAGGAGAAGATAAAGCTGATTACGAGCCTTGGAGGGCTGCCTTTATGTCTATTGTTGATAGAATGGATATTCCTGTTGGTGAAAAAGTGTTACGTCTTCAAAGCAGTTTGACCGGAAAGGCCCTGACATTGGTGAAAGACCTAGGATACTCTATCAATGCCTACGAAAGAGCAAAGGAAAAACTCGAAAAGAAGTATGGAGGGGAGAGGCGTTTGCAAATTAAACACTTGACTGCTCTGCGTGGATGGCAAAAAGTTCGACCCCGAAATCTAGAAGATATGGAGAACTTTCAAGGTATACTGGAAAGAGTTTGGATAGCGCTGAAAGACTGTGGTCCAGGGCAAGAACTTCAAGGGCACAATCTGAACCTCACAGCAAAGGAAAAGCTTTCAGAGGAGGATGTGCAGGCTTACAAGCATTGGCTTATCGATCATTCCCTGGAAGACAGCTTCGAGTCACTCATAGAATGGGTAGAGATCCGAGTGCAGATTATGGAAGAAGCAAGGGAAGAGACGAGTGGGTTCGGGAAAAGAAAATCTGATGAGCCAGAAGGACGAAGAAATGGTTTTCGAAGTGATCGAGTTCGTGGCAGAACCTTCAACACCAAATCGAAGTCAAGAAGCTGTATTGTGGAGACATGTAAGCAGAACCATCCTCCATGGGTTTGCAAAGCCTTCAAAGAGTTACCTGTTCCAAAGAGAAAAGAGCTGATTGGAAGTGCCAAGCGTTGTTACCGTTGTCTAGCTGCTGGTCATCACAGCAAGGAATGCCCTAACACGAAGCGATGTGGAGTTGACGGATGTCTCAGTACTCATCATAGCAGCTATCTTCACGAAAATACTTCCCATCAACCGACGGACAGATCACAAGGCCAACTACATGTGGGCGCCTCGCCTTTCCGACTAGACGAACAGGCAAATCCAGAATCTAGAGCCCTACAGAATGCAGGAGCAAGCATGAATGACCCGGCACCTCGAGAGCAGACCCACAATACTAGCCATGCTGAACATGTGTCTTTGATGATTCTCCCAGCTCTGATCAGCAATGGAAATAAAGGACTGAGGGTAAATGTCATGCTAGACCCATGCTCCACAAGTTCCTACATTTCTGAGGAGGCAGCTGAAGAGCTAGAGTTACATGGACAGGAGTTGAATCTGACGATCGCAGGAACAGGAGGAGTAGAAGTCAAGACACGTTCACGCAGGGTTGAACTTACCGTGACAAACCTAGATGGTACCTTTTCAAGTCCGTTGCAAGCCCATGTCCTTGACAACATTGCCGGCGATACTCCAGCTATTCGCTGGTCAGAACTGAAGGATAAGTGGCCCCACCTTCGCCAAGTGCCATTCAAAAGTGTATCAAGACGGCGTCAGATTGACATCATGATTGGCAGTGATCATCCAGTCTTTCATCATGTACTGAAGGAAGCTTGTGGTGACCAACCAAATGACCCCATTGCGCGTTTGACAAATTTGGGCTGGGTGTGCTTTGGTCCTACATTGGTGGAAGAATTCCGGCGTAACACTCATTCCCACTTCACACGCACGTACCGCAGCAGTCAAGTCAATAAGTCACCGCCTCCTGATGACATTCTGCGTGCATTTTGGGAACTCGAATCCCTGGGGATCATGGACAAGTCTGAACAACGGATGACAGCAGAAGAGAGAGCGGCAGTCGCTCAAGTATCTGAGACACTGGAGGTCAGGAATGGGCGATACAAAATAGGAATCCCCTGGAAAGAAGGCGAACCAAAGTTCACTAACAATTATGATGTAGCTATCGTGCGACTCAAAAGCCAGGAGAAGTCCCTCAAGCGAAAAGGCCCAGAGGTCATGGAAGCCTACAACAAGATCTTTCAAGACTATGAGAAAAAGGACTACATTCGTCAAGTACCCCAATCTGAAGTTGAAAAGCAATGGTTTCTCCCCCACTTTCCAGTGGTCAAAGAAGACAGAGTCACCACAAAAGTGCGCGTGGTCTTTGATGCTGCGGCAAAGCATGATGGAAAGAGCTTGAATGACGCCATATGGCCGGGACCAAAGCTTCAAAGAGACTTGGTTGATGTGCTGACACGTTTCCGTCGTGCACCTATAGCCCTGTCAGCTGACATTTCTGAGATGTTCTTACAAGTTGAACTGCAAGAGAAAGACCGTCCATATCACCGTTTCCTGTGGCGTGACTTCGACACTTCAAGAGAGCCTGACGTGTATGAGTTTCAGCGACTGTTGTTTGGAAACACTGCTTCGCCATTTTGTTCCCAGTATGTTCTTCAGACCCATGCCAAGACACACGCTTTAGACTTTCCTCAAGCAGCAAGCACCGTTGAAGACTCAATGTATGTGGATGATGTACTAGACTCCTGTGAGATAGTTGAGAGTGCTCAACACCTGCGACGCCAGCTGTCTACCCTTTTGGCCATGGCAGGCTTCAAGTTAAGGAAGTGGTCCTCCAATGAACCAGTTGTAATTGAAGACATCCCGAAGGAAGACCGGCTACCTACCATAGACTTAGACAAAGATATCTTGCCAAAGACCAAGACTCTTGGAGTCATGTGGGAAGCTGAAAGAGATGTCTTTACCTTCCAAGTGCAACAGCCACTCATGAACAACAAAGCACAGACCAAGCGAAACGTACTTAGCGCTATAGCCAGCCTGTTTGACCCACTTCAGTTCTTGGCACCATTCACCGTGAGAGCAAAGGTCCTTATGCAGGAGATATGGATGGCTGGTGTTGATTGGGATGACGAATTACCCGAGAACTTAAAAATTAAGTGGGAGAAGTGGGTATCAGAACTCCCACAACTGTCAAATGTTGCTGTCCCTCGATGTCTGCGTCGAGCATACCCAGAGAACATTGAACTACACCTATTTTCAGATGCTTCTAATGACGCTTTCGCATCAGTTGCCTATTTAGTCTGTCGGTACCAGGATATCAGTCCGTCGTCACGCCTTATCGCATCAAAGTGTCGTGTGTCCCCAGTGAAAGCAATGACAATTCCCCGGTTAGAGCTTATGGGTGCCATCCTTTCAAGTCGTCTGGCCCAGAATATCCTGAAAGTGATCTCCGTAGATAGAACCATCTTCTGGACTGACTCAGAGAATGTGTGGTACTGGGTCCGCAATCAAAGCCGTGAGTTCAAACCGTTTGTTGCCAACCGAATCGGTGAAATACAGCGAACGTCAAGTCCTGAGCAGTGGCGACACGTACCAGGAACATTAAACCCAGCAGACCTGCCAACAAGGGGGCTTTCTGCCATGGCCTTAGCCGAGAGTGAAGTTTGGATGGAAGGACCAGCCTTCCTTAAAAATGATGAGTCAACCTGGCCAGCGGCACCACCCCCCAGAGATAGCATTAAGAAGAATGAAGACTATGAAAGACGAACGACATCCAGAACACACGTGACCAACAGCCATGCCAATGTGATCATGGACCCAAACAGATTCTCAAGCCTTAAGCGTCTGGTTCATGTGACAGGATGGGTTCAGCGATTCCTGACCAACTGCAGACTTCCGATGAATTTACGAAGAAAGGATCGAATTCTCCTGCCAACCGAGATATCAGAAGCAGAGACGTTCTGGATTAAGCAAGCCCAAGCCCAAGCCTTCCCTGGTGGAGAAAACGAGAGTTCGCTGACTCAATTGAACCCTAAGAGTGATGGTG